GTGCAATGGCGCGATCTCGGCTCACTGCAACCTCCGCCTCCTGGGTTCAGGCAATTCTCCTGCCTCAGCCTCCTGAGTAGCTGGGATTACAAGCACGCGCCACCATGCCCAGCTAGTTTTTTGTATTTTTAGTAGAGTCGGGGTTTCACCATGTTGACCAAGATGGTCTCTATCTCTCGACCTCGTGATCCACCCGCCTCGGCCTCCCAAAGTGCTGGGATTACAGGCTTGAGCCACCGCGCCCGGCAGGCCCACGCATTTCTTTCATTCCTTTCCTTCCATCCTGGATTCCCCACCACAGGCAAATGGTGTCTGGAGACAAGGGATCAAAGTTCCCATATGCCCTCTGACCTCTGCTAGGAGTAAACAAAGTAATCAGTTTCTTTACTGCCCTCATCCAGTCTTCCCTGGAAGGGCCTGAGAAAACCTGTGGCTGGACCAAATCAAGCAACTCACCCATGTCTGCACCATTGGCTGACTCTGGCTAACAGGGCCTGGCTCCCAGAACCTCACATCTGCCCCAAGGGTTCCTCTGGCAAGAACAGAGTGACCTAGGTCATACCTCATCCCCATTACCACCTGATGACCCAGGAGGGCTTTAGCCTAGTTCACCTGCCATAATCTTGACGTTCCTGGGTGGTTTCCATAATCTGCCAGTCAGTTTTCCCAATGGTGTGTGATTTTTGGTGGGTAGAGGAGAGTCTGCTACAAAACTATAGACATAAATAAAAAATACTGTATATGCATATACACACATACACATCTGAGGTTAACTGTAGATTCATATACAGTTATAAGAAACAGTACAGAGAGGCCTGGCGCTGTGGCTCACACCTGCAATCCCAGCACTTTGGGAGGCGGAAGCAGGGAGACCACCTGAGGTCAGGAGTTTGAGACCAGCCTGGTCAACATGGCGAAACACCATCTTTACTAAAAATACAAAAATTAGCCGGGCATGCTGGCAGGCACCTGTAGTCCCAGTTACTTGGGAGGCTGAGGAAGGAGAATCGCTTGAATCCTGGAGGCAGAAGTTGCAGTGAGCCAGGATAAAGCCACTGCACTCCAGCCTGGCCGACTGAGTGAGACTCCGGTCTCAAATGAATGAATGAATGAGCTTGTGTACACTTTGCTTAAACTCCCCCAATGATAACATTTTACAAAACTGTAATAATCACAACCAGGATATTGACACTGGGAAACTCCACTGGCCTTACTCAGATTTTTCCCAGTAAATATGTTCCATTTCAATGATAAGCCCACAAAAGCTTTGACCAGTTTACCGACCTAGCAAGTTGCCTGTGATCCGGAGATAGCTCACCCCGCTGCTTCGTGTGTCCCTAAAACTGGAAAACAGGAGGAATTTAACCTTTCGGGGCATAATGTGGTAGGCTCCGTACTCATGTCACCATTTAATCCTCACAACAGGCCGGGCGCGGGCTCACGCCTATAATCCCAGCACTTTGGGAGGCTGAGACAGGCAGATCACTTGAGGTCACAAGATCAAGACCAGCCTGGCCAACATGCTGAAACTACTGAAATACAAAAAAATTAGACGGGCATGATTGTATCCGCCTGTGATTCCAGCTACCCGGGAGGCTGAGGCAGGAGAATCGCTTTGAGTCCAGGAGGCGGAGGTTGCAGTGAGCCGAGATCGCGCCATTGCACTCCAGCCTAGGCGACAGAGCGAGACTCCATCTCAAAAAAAAAAAAAAAAAAAGTAATAATAATAATAATCCTCGCAGCCTGTTTTACAGACGATAAGACAGGCTCAGAGAGGGTGGGCGTCCCAGACCCCGGTAGCCCAGAGCACAGCCCGAAGTTCGGGCAACAAACACAGATGGAGGCCTAGTGGGCCCGGAGCAGGGTCCTGCACAAAGGGCCTGGGCTCAGCGTTAGAGCGCGGCGCGACCCTACTCTGGCTGCAACGAGAGGGGTGAGATAGGCGGCGGGGATGGCCCAGAAACTGCTCGCGCCCCGCCCCGCCCCGTGCTCTCCTCCCCAGCTGCGCAGCCCTCGGCTGCCCCCTGCCGCCGCGGGGCGGACGCAGTGAGCCCCACTGTATCCCCCTTCGCACCGCCCACCCCCGCCTCCGGATTGGCGGCTCCAGAAATCTCCAGGCCACCCGCCTTCCGCTACCGGATTGGCTGCGCCTGGGTGCTGAGGCCCAGCCCATTTCCCCGGGTCCTTTGATCACGCGCCTGACGGCTTTTCCGGGGCTCGGGAGCCAACCGAGGGCGTTCCTGTCGGGGCTGCAGCGGCGGGAGGTAAGGCATGGCCAGGCAGGCTGGGCTGCAGAGCGCCGGCACGGGTCCACGCCTCGGGGTGTCGGGATTCCAGGATGTTAGGGCGCGGAGCGGCCCCTCCGCGTTCCCCAGCACCCCCCACCTCCGGCCTGAGCCTCCCCGCGCCGTGGGAACTACCTCCTGTCCGCTGTTGCTGGCCAGCATCCTAGCAGCGGCCTGCCGCCCTCCCCACCCTGGCATGCCCCCTTGACCTGGGACGATGAGCATGCGACTGGGTAAGGGCAAGCTCGATGCCCCGTGCCCCACGGACACGGGGGTAGGTCCCTCATACCGTGCCCTCTGATAGAGACTCAAGCGAACCTGGGTCCCGGATCTTGGGCCATCAGCGTGCAAACCGCCCCAGGAGGATCTCTCTGCTTCTGTCATGGGGACTGACCCTCTCCACCTCCGTCTGTCAGCTCAGGCCAGGAGGGGAGGGACCTGGGCGGAGCCCCGGGTGGAGACAGGAGGAAGGTGACATCATCTCGAAGATACAATCCAGCTTTACCCACTCGTGTCCACCCGGACACGCGAGACCGATGGGGGAGAGGGTGTTCCAGCTGTATGTCCGAGGTGACACCAGGGACAAGGGCATAGAACCCAGGCATGGGACCCATCACCTGAAGTGGGATTGGACCAGGATGGAAGCGGGCTCCTTCAGATGCTCCCACCTCACTCCTGGCTGCAGTGCAGGTCCCTCCTGTGTGGACCTCATTTATACATTTTGCTCCACTGGACAGGTGCTGGCAGCCCAATGCCTAAAAGGGCTGGGACAGGCGCCTGAAACCTGCACTTAATCTTTCCCCAGAAGTTGAGACTTTGAAATGTTTGGCCAGCATCTGAGCTGGGCCCCGCCCTGATTTAGGGATAGGAGCTGGGCAGGACTCAGTCCTGGATCCAGGACTTCCCTTGATCCCCTTTCCTGCCAGGATTTGCCAAGACTCGCTGGAGGGTTACACCCAGTACATTTACCTGGAGGATCCCTCCTACCGGGATTTGACCTGGGACCCGTTTTCCGAGATCTCCAGCTCTGGGGGAGGGATCCAGGGTCTGGATGTCACCCTGGATGCAACTGCTAACCGCCCTTCCTCCTCCCCAGGGAGCCCAGTGGAGGCGCCCTCCCGAGGCACCACTGCCCATGCTGACCACCGAGCCCTCCGGCTGCCGATGTCATGAGTAACACCACTGTGCCCAATGCCCCCCAGGCCAACAGCGACTCCATGGTGGGCTATGTGTTGGGGCCCTTCTTCCTCATCACCCTGGTCGGGGTGGTGGTGGCTGTGGTAAGGAGCCCTCATATACACACACAGACACCCACAGCTTTGCTAAGGCAGGGGCTGCACAGAGGCCACACTGTCCTGTTGAGGGAGTGAAGGGTGTGGAGGTGGAGGTGAGCCTCTCTCTCTGCTTGTGGGCCTTCCTGGGCTCAGCAGCCCCCACAGTGCTCTGTCTCTGTTGCAGGTAATGTACATACAGAAGAAAAAACGGTGAGTGTCCCTGTCCCCACGGCCGCCCTGATCCCACACCCATTCTGAAATTCCTGCTCATAGCCTCTGAGTTCTCTGTAAGATGTCCTTCAGCCATCCTGATACAAGCCTGAAATTTGTTTTCCCTGCCCTAGCCTCAGCTTACTAGGGAGAGCTCCTTTGCAGAATCAGGGCTGTATTCTTCGAGCTAAAGTGTGTCCCAAAAGGCACCCATTGGAAGTGCCCCTGCCTGGGAGAGAGAGGAGGCTGGGCAGCCGGGTGTTTGGTGAGGGTTGGGGGGCCTCCTAGGCTGAGTCCCCCTCCCCTGCTCTCCAGGGTGGACCGGCTGCGCCATCACCTGCTCCCCATGTACAGCTATGACCCAGCCGAGGAGCTGCATGAGGCTGAGCAGGAGCTGCTCTCTGACATGGGAGACCCCAAGGTAAGCACAGGGGGAGAATGGGGCGAGCGGGGTGGTCAGCCCTGTTCCCGGCCATACTTTTCCACACTGAAACCAGAGCCTGGTTCTGCTTACTTGGGCTGTAACCGAGTGCTGCAGACTCCCAGGGGGCACAGCCCAGCCTTGCAGTGTGGTCTCCTCCCCCACAGGTGGTACATGGCTGGCAGAGTGGCTACCAGCACAAGCGGATGCCACTGCTGGATGTCAAGACGTGACCTGACCTCCCTGCCCCACCCTTCAGAGCCTGGAGCCCTGGACCACCTGGTGCCATTGTGGGACTCTCCCCCTGCCTACCTGCAGTCACTCAGCTCTTCCTGCTGCGCACCGGGCCTCCACTTCTCCCTCTGCCCACACTCAGCAGCACCCACTTCCCAGGCCCTCACCATCCCTCACTGTCCCCAGGCCTTCTGCCCTTTGTGGGTGTCAAGCTCACCACCCACCCACAGGCACTCAATGGAAGGAGCTTTTCCTTCTGGGGTGGGGGCGGCTGGGAGACAGCTTTGCTTTCTCCAGCCCTCCTGGGCTGGGCTTGGGCATAAATACCCAGGGCTTTGGAGTTGTTCCCATGGTGATGGGGCCAGATGTATAACATTCGGTATATATTTTGTAAATAAAACGTTTTGTGACTAGGAGTTGTTGATTTCATCAAAAGGGGCTTCAGATGACCTTTCCTGGAGGCAATTCCAGTGCTATTTTCCCTCCCTCCTGCAGCCTGAAGGATGGGGGCAAGAGCGCGCGTCACTCACCCTACCTGCCCCAGACTGTAGGGGCACACACCACAGGAGACTCCAGTCCAGAAAAGGATATTTTTTATTCAAGTAACTGCAAATAGGAAACCAGAGGGGGAGCCCCAGGCTGGGACAAATCATGGCTACCCCTCCCCGACAGAACAGGGGGAGGAGATGGCCCTACACCCTTTGTGGTCGATTCGGGCCCCCTTGCTCACTCTGCTGCAGCATCCAAGGGGCAGGGCCCCACCTTCCCTGGGACTGGGGTAGTCTAGTCAGTCACCCAGCCTGCCATGCCCCAGCCCCTCTTCCCCATGAGGAGTATCTTGGGGTAGGGTATCGTGGGCAGAACAGGAGGCATTGAGGATGAACATTTGGCGCTGATAGCAGCAGCAATGATGGATGTCAAAGAATGGAACATTGAACAAAAAACAACACAACTGTCCAGAGGTAGTTTGTGAACAGAGGAAAAATGGAACCAGAACCTTGGGGGACAGGGAGGAGCAGGAGGGTTGGGAGTGGGCAGGGTGAGCTCCTTGTTATTGGTGCCCCATCTGAGGAGGGGGAAATGGCCGAGTAGCAGAAGCAAAGTAGGGTGGGGGGAACAGCTCCAGCCCATCTCAGGTGGTAGCCACAGGGCTCACGGGCCTCACCTGGACAATTAAGTGACTGCATCTCCATCACCACAATATAGACTCAGATCCCAGGCAGAGGGCCAGGGGGCTGGGACCACAGTGAAAAGGGTGTAGGGGACTCATACCCCTCCTGCCTTCCTGTAGCCAAACGGGGCTGTCCAACCTAGTGGAGGGACTCGGGAAGGTGGGGGTGAAAGGTGTGAGCCCTATGTGGTGACAAAAGACAGTTTGGCTGGGGAATTCTGGGAGCCAGCACCCCCCTCCATTGGCCACACCTGCTGCTGCCAGGGCAGTGGAGTAGGGCGTGCCAGGATGAGATGGGGCTTGGGCCCCTTTTAAGGCCAGGGGAACCCTCCCAGGCCCCACTATGGGAAGCCAGAGGGAACAGTAGAGGAGCAGAGAGGGCGCCCCCAAACCGAAAGCCCAGAGAGCAATGTCCCCATCACCAAGGGAGTGGGGACGCAGCAGGTACAGGGTGCGGCTAAGTGGGATGTTAGCCTTGTCCAGGAGGGCATGTGTGTATGCATGGGTGGGTGGGTGAGCTGGGAACTGAGGCCAGGGGAAAACCGCTCCCCACTCAGCCCATGGGGGCCCTGCAGTGGCTGGTGTGCTGTGTAGTGTGGTGGTGAGGGCACAGGTGGAAGATGAGGGTGGCGGCCGGAGGCGGTGGTGATGGCGGGCCTGGGGAAGGGGCGGGGGCGGTGGGAGCGGAGCAAAGCTGTCCAGTCCCAGAAGGAAGCTGCTCCTCCAGTGAGGAGCAGGCGGCACGCACGGTCACTGCTCCTCCTCCGAGGACTCCTGCGAGATGCCCTCCTCTTCCTCCTTCTCCTGTGAGGTGGGCAGTTGTTGGTGTGAGCTCTGGCCTGGCCACCCTCCTTCTCCACCCCCAGAGGCTGGCCCCCACCCGCTCCCTGCACTCCCTGGCTCTCCCGAAGAGGGATGAGTCAGGGCTGAGTGTGTGGGTGACTCAGCAACCTCCACGGCCCGGCTTCATTCATAAAAATAATTTAAAAGGAGGAAAAAACCCCACACACATGCTGCTCTCACCCAGAGTCAGAAGCCAAGCCCCCTCGGCCCCCAGACCCATGGAGGGCAGAGCTCAGGGCAGCACTGAGCTCCAGGACGTGACTGGCTCCCTAGGGGAGAGGAGGTGGGGAGGAGGTGGCTGGGGGAGGAAATAGGAAGGGGCGGATGGAAGGTCCATGAGATCTGGTGGGTGCTGGGAAACCAGGTCCTTGGCCCACAGGGACAGGTGCTACGTTCGCTGTGGCGCCCTGGCCCTCTGGGGTGGCCGAGGGCTGACCCCAGGTCAGGGTGGGGAGGAAGGGGAAGTGTGTGCCGCCGGGGCCACTCACTGGGCGGGAATGTCGGGACACCACACGGGGCTACAGCCCCCGTGCCAGGCATAAACTCCAAAACAACTTGTTTCCTGTTACTCACTCCTGGGGCCTGGCCAGCAGCGCCCCCTAACCCCCCCACCCCAGCAGCAGCTCAGCTCGAGGAATGACAGCTTCAGGGAGTTGAGAGGGCAGGCTGGGGATAGGAGAGGACCAGGAGCTGGAAGGCTGGGGTGACCCTAACTGCAGTGGCCCCCTAGAGGCAGCCTCCTGACTCAGCCCACTGAGCCTTTCCACCAGCTGTTTGTGGGCCCAGAAGTGGATGGTGCCCCGCTGTGCGGTGTGGTGGATCACACCAGACCTCCAGTGCCGACCCCTCCCAGGACCCAGCTCCTTCACTGTTTCTTTCTCAAGAGGATCATAGGAAGGATAAACCTCCCCCCTATGGCTTCCTTTCCTCGTCTCTAATTGAGGGAGACATAGACTAGATGACTTCCAAGATCTCCCCTAGAAGTTCTAAGTATTCTAGGAGCAGGAGAGGGAAGGACCCCCACACACAACTAGGGCAGGTCAGGGGGATGTGGTCTGGTTTGTACCTGGGACCCCTCACTTCTCATGGGCACAGAACTTTAAAGGCGGAGGCCAGGCACCTTCCCCTCTCTGGACTTCTGTAAAATCTGAAATCCCATCAAGTCAGGGAGAGCCTTTCCATAAGGGGTGCATAGTATCAGAGGCTGTGTGTTCTTAACACCCTCCCCCAAAAGAGCCCAGGAGGCCAGCAGCAATCTGCTTCTTCACCTACCAGTTTTTTGGGTCTGCCCCTTGGTTTCCTTCCTGGAGTTGTGGTGGTTTTCTAGACGGTTAGAGAAAATATCTCCTAAGTCCAAACTGCTCAATAGTGCTCACCGGATGCCTGATGGTGAGGGGGGCAGACCCACCTGCCTGTTCAGGGTGGCCCAACACTCTCACCCAGCAGGCCCACCCGAGTCCAGCTGGCGATGACTGGCCAGCCACATTTGCCCCCTCAACATACACACACGCCCCCTACTCCCGCCTCCACCCATGACTCAGAGGATATGAGTCGTGTCTTAGAAAAAATAAAATAAAAAACAAAACAACTTTTCTGAAAGGCTGATGCCACTGTGAATCTGGTCTTTGCTGCTTGTCCCCACCCCTTCAGGCTCCAGGGCACCCCAAGGGGAGAAGCTAACATTCTCAGCCCAGGTGCTGGCAGGGACCCTCCACTCTCCCCTTCTCTAGATCAGGAAAGCCATGGACTTCTGACCTGATCTCCCCATTGTCTGGGCAGGACCAACCTCACAGAAGCGAGACCTCAGTCATTGCCCCACTTTCCCCAATTAGCAAAGGCCCACTGCCACCTCTGTGCCAGGGAAGGGGGTGTACAACTGCATCTGCCCCTTGGTTTCCTTCCTGGAGTTGTGGTGGTTTTCTAGACCGTTAGAGAAAATATCTCCTAAGTCCAAACTGCTCAACAGTGCTCACCGGATGCCTGGTGGTGAGGGAGGGGCAGACCCACCTGCCTGTTCGGGGTGGTCCAGCATGACTGAGCCCTTCCCCCAGACCTCCCCACAGCCGTGGCCATAAGCAAACAAGAGGATCCTCTGCTAGTCACCCACCCAGGGGCAGCCCCATCTCAAGCCTCACCCGGGTCTTGGCAGCGCCCTTGTTTTTGCTTCCCTTTGGTCGGCCCCGAGGTCTCTTAGGTGTTGGCACTTCGCTGGGTTCCTTCTGTAAAGACAGAGGGGGTAGTCAGGGACAGTCACCACCTGTTTCAACCCTCCTCAGAAGACAGAGCTCTCTGCCTCCTCAACAAGGTTAAATCAGCAAGAACCAAGAACCGCCCCGACGTAGGAATCCCTTCAGGATCCAAAGCCCCAGTTTGATTGTCTTTACCAAGCGCCTCCTACTCCTCCCCTTGCTTCCCTGCAGGTTTCTAAGACACAAAATGACAAGAGCCCAGAAGACCCCTAGGAAAGGCATTCTGGGGACAGAAAGACACTGGTAGGTGGTTTTGCCCAAGTCTCAGTTTTGACACTGATCTTGGGCAGGACACTTAATGCTGGAGCCTCAGTTTCTTCATATATAAATGGTGAAGACTTCCTGAGATTACATCAGTAACGTATGGTTATCTAGCATTGGGCCATGATCACTGCCCACCCTCTCAGATGACCTGTGCTGGACACATACTCCCTGCCTGCACCTGCAAACCTTGAACCCATCCAGACTGCCCCCACAGAGGGGGAATTATGCCCAGACCCCAGAGATCTCTGCTGCCATTGTCACTGAAATTTTAGTAAGCCCTAGATAGAATAAAAAGCTGCTGCATAATGCATAGAAGGTGCGCAGTGAAGGCGTGCCAGCTACTGTTTCCTAGGGGGCTGCCTATAACCAGGGTCCAGTAACCCAACACCCCTCCTGACAGCTCCCACTGACCAGGGCTAACAGGCAGGGGAGGAAGGGAGCCCGAGGGAGCCAGGCTAAGAAGATGAATGCCCCCACCACAGGCTCTGAAGGTGGCTGCTGAATTCCAACACAGCAGACCCTCACAGCTCATGTCTCCCTAGGCCCAGGTCAGCACAGACCACTCTCCACCTTACAGACAGGAAAAACCTGCAGGTGAACCACCTACTTCGGGTTGAAGGCGCAGGAGTCAACCTCGACTCCTCTCACCTTTTCCCCAGGGAAGGGAAGTAACTGAGCTTCACCAACAGCCACCCCTCACTTGGGTGACAACTGCCTCTGTAAGAGGCCAATACGTAGTCCCCCCATGCCCAAGTGGCCATGCTCTCTAGGGTGCCCCACAGTGCCAGGCTGGCAGCCTCATCCTTCTATGGGACCTTGTGGGGAGAGCAGCACCAGGGTTCTCAGGGGCACTGTCACCAGCTCCCCAATATTTTTCACTTCTTGGGCTTCAGTTTCCATTTACAGAGCCAGGGGCAATGCCCATTCATAACATGGCCTGTGCATGAACAGGCAGTGGCCCACACAGGCAGGCACCTGTTTCTTGCCTGGGATGAGGAAGTACAGGAACTTACCATAAGTATTTAGAAACTTAACAGTAAATTGACAAGAGCCATTTTACATGCACTGAATCTAAGGATTAAAAACCCTGGGCGTCTATGTGTACGTTTTCATTTTTGTTCATTCATCTGTACCGTATTTTAAAAACACTGGTCCACAGTGGACTGGAAATTAAGAAAAACGTGGATGTTTTAGGTAAGCACTGGCTACGCGACCTCTGGGGTGCTTTAGGTTTGGACTTCCTGCCATTGGCTTCAGAATTCTTCTTGAATTTCCCGACCCCCGGTTCTCTCCTGGGGTCTCGAGAGCTCTGACCAGAGTTGCAAGCAGGGCAGGAATACATACAGGAGGCAGGACACACCCGCACACTTACCGCGCGGAATCATTCTGCACCCTCCAAGCGTGCTCTCACCTGCTGAAAGAAATGCCAGGCACCTCCCTAGCCCCAAAGGATAAAGCAAGCGAAGCAAAGGTTTGGACACCCACCTGACTCCCTACCAGCGCTGTCCCGGGACTCACCGGAGGCTGCTTGCGTGGCCTGCCCCGGCCCCGCTTCTCAGTGCCGTCCTTTTCCTGCTTGGAGGCCAAGGGCTGGCTGGACTTCGAGCTCGATTCGCTCATCTTCCCTTCTCTAAGGAGCAGGTGGAAGAGTGATGGCTGGGATGCTGAGAGAGGGAAAAGTGCTTTTAGACAAACATCTCACTCCAGCCCCTTTCGACCCCCTCATCATCCATACCTTCAAGGCACACTGCAGAAAATTATGCTCCCAGGCCTCCTACTCTGCCCGAGATGGAGGGGTCTGCCCAGCCCTAGATGCTGCCAAAGGTGGGGCAGGGCAGTTGGCCCTAATCAGCTTCTTATCTATCTGCTGTTCAGAAGGGCTCTTTGTTGTCCTGCCTTAACACTGCTCCCACAGAGCAGGGAGGGAGGACTCAGGAGGTACATGCAGCCCAGACCTAGCTACATGGGTGAGGCTGACATGGGGCAAAGGTGTGGGGAGGTAGGGTCTGACATATTGCCAGCATCCCCTCTCTCTGTAGCCAGCCACTGCTATTTCTCTTTAAGAGAAAACCCAACCCAGGCAGCTTCGTGGGGACTAGGAAGAAAGTGGAAAGAATGAGGCCTTGAGATCTGGCAGCTATGGACATGGATGCCCTGCCCGCCTCACTGATGATATTGCCTATTTGGCAAGGTCCAAGCCTCAGGACCAAAAAATCCCACTCACATAGCCAGGGGTGGTGCCTACCCACTAGCTCTCTTCTCTGTTCTCACCCAAGGTAAATCCCTGGGATTCAAAGACTGGTATCACTGAGGGAAGGAGAAGGGATGTTGAAGCTGCAGTGGATGAGGTGATGAAGGGAAGGGAGCCCAAAGCCAAGCATCTTCCTCTTTCCCCTTCCCCTTCCTCTGCCCAACTTGAGTCAAATGGGACTTCGTCAGATGGGCAGGGAATTCTCCAACTGAAATGCACTCATCTAACAGACCCTAGCCGGCCCCCTGGCAGGACTCATCCTAAAAGCTTCTTGGTCGTTTTCTAGAATCTTCCCTCTTCCCAAGGGGTTTAATTAACCCCATTCATTTTGAGTTTTTCTAAAACTTCCCATTAGAAGGAGGTCCTGCACCCTGTATTTGGGAAGACCCTGTACTATAGGCTTAGAAAGGACAGTCCTGGGCCGGGTGCGGTGGCCCACGAGGTCGAGAGATCGAGACCATCCTGGTCAACATGGCGAAACCCCGTCTCTACTAAAAATACAAAAAACTAGCTGGGCGTGGTGGCACGTGCCTGTAATCCCAGCTACTCAGGAGGCTGAGGCAGGAGAATTGCCAGAACCTAGGAGGCGGAGGTTGCGGTGAGCCGAGATTGCGCCATTGCACTCCAGCCTGGGTAACGAGAGCGAAACTCCGTCTCAAAAGAAAAAAAAAAAAAAAAAAAAAAGAAAGGACAGTCCTTTACAGCTCCATCGTAGTCCTTCCAATCCCAGGCTAGACGGACGAGACCCCGGAGGCCTACGCTACACATTTTTCCAGTAACCAATCCCTGCCTGCCCATGGTAAGAGGTGGGCCCAAGCGGCTCCACTTCTGAAAGCTTCTCAATCTGTAAGATCAAGGTAATTATAAGGTGCCTGCCTCAACTACCTCCTGACTGCTTCAAGATCAAACTAGGTAATAGTTTAGAAAAACTTAAAATAATAGAAAGAAATCTTCACTCTAACCGAAATAAGAACTAGACCCCAGGTGAGGTGACTCACGCCTGTAATCCCAGCACTTTGGGAGACCAACGTAGGAGGACTGCTTGAGGCCGGGAGTTTGAGACCAGCCTGAGCAATTAGGTGGGACCCCTTGTCTAATTAAAAAAAAAAAAAAAAAGGAAGAAAAAGTTTTTACCCCAATGAGAGGAAAAAACACTTTTGCAGACTTGTGATTTCTGGAGGGCCCAGGACCTCCATTCTCAAGCATCAAGAGACCCTCCAGAGAGCAGGACTTTGGTCATTATTCTATCTTATAATACTTCAGACTTGGAGATCCTTTTAAACAAGGTGGTTGGTGACTTACACTGCTCCGTCATTAGTGGCTTGGCCTGCTCTGTAATTACAGGCAGTGATTAGAATCTTATATTACACCACAGGTCCCCCTTCAAACTAAACATCAAAATTAATCAACTAAACGAGGGCTGACCTCATATAAGGTCTGCCTGAGGCCCCCTCATCGAGGGGGTTCCAGTTGGGCGAGGCCAGTCCAAAATCCCAGAGCCTGGGACCGGTCGGCCTGGGGATCTTGGCGGGTCTCCCTGGAAGCTCTCATACCATCTGGTGCCCCCTCCCACCTCTTACTGCTGAGGACCCTTTAATCCCCCTCAACCAACCCCCCGAGAACTACAGGAAGGCCGGAGGCCCTTTCTAGTGTGGCCAAGAAACGCTCGTCTCTTCCACCTGTTCATGAACATCAGAGGCCTGTCTTGGAGGAACTACATTTAGGGCCCAACCCCAATCCCTCACTTTGTAATAAGCCCGCTTGGGCCTCAAGCCTGTCTCCTCCATGCACTATGCACGCCAAGTTTGCTCCTCAAATGCTTAAGGACTCTGCAAGCGAAGGCACTGGGAAATTATCTCGGGGGTTCCCCGTCCCCGTCAAAAGCTTTCCCAGAGAAGCCTGATGAGTTACCGAAGGTCACACAGCAAGTTGGCGAACAGGAAAAAGTAGGTTCCCGGAGACCCTTTCAAGCCGACACTTGGCCTACCCGCCTGGCGGCTAAAGCCCCCGAGCCATCAGGCTTCAGACTCGGCCCCAGGGTGACTCTGCAAGTGTCGGGCCTGGCCATTAGAGGCCGGCGGGACCCGGGGCCAGGGTGCGCGGGGAGCGGGGGGGGGAGGGACGCAGGCCGCTCCTGCAGGCGCGGGAAAGCAGCGCACCCCGACCGCATGCAACGCCACGCGGGTGCACCCGGCCCCACTTCCTGCCAGAGGGGGCACCCAAGCCCGCCTTGGGGCAGGAAACCTGGCGCGCGCGGGCGAGGGGGAAAGGAAGAAAAGACCCTTCCTCCATCCCCTTCCCACAAGATGAAGCCCCAGAAGAAAATAAAATAGAAACGGGGAGTCAAAGGGACTAGTTCCAACAGAGCCCAGCAAAGCAGCGAAACCAGTTTGTGGGGGCGGAGGGCAGGCCTGGCCCCTGGGGCTGAAGACGCGAGGGCCAGGCCAGAGGTGGGGTCGGGGTGAAGCCCCAAACCCAGGCCCGCGCTCCGGCCTCATCTGCGGAGGGGGCGCCGGGAGAAAGGCCGAGAGGGTGTAGGGCCCAATTTCGGGGTTCCTCCCCATAGCCCTCACTTCCAGAACTTCCTTGGGCTGCGGGGGTGCCCGACCCCCCACTCTCCCGCCGCGCCGCAGTCCGTGTTTCTCCCCGCCCCTCAACCCGGGCCCGTGCTCGGGCTCCGGCGGGAGCGGCCGCCGTGTGAGGTGCGCCGGGCTCCGCCGGGTGCACAACTCGCGCTCGCCGCAGCCGCGCGCCCCCTCCCCCACCGCGCGCCTTTCCCGGGTCCCCGCCCCCCCGCAGGGCGCCCGTGGCGCGGGGGAAGGGGTGCGGGCGTCCTCCCCGCGCAGCCGGGCCCCGCCGCCCGCCCCCGCGCCGCGCGGCCCTCCCCCGCCGCCGGCTCGCGCCGCCCCGGCCTGGGAATAAAGCCGGCGGCGCGCGCTGCAGCCCCGGGCGGCTCGCAGGAGGGGCGGCGTGCGGGCGGGGGCGCGGGCGTCCCCCTTCGCCGCCGCCGCCGCGGGCCCCGGGGACGACTCACTGCGAGCTCGGCCGCCGGCCTGCGGTGCGCGCTCCGGGTTGCCGGGAGCGGCGGTGCTGGGCGCTGAGGACCGGCCTGGCTCCGCCGCGGCCGCCGCTGGTAGCAAATGCGGATCTGAAACCGGGAGAGAGAGCAGAGGCGCTCAGAGACCGCCGCCGCCGCGTGCTCGCCGCCCAGGCCCCCGCGGGGTATTTATGTGTCACAGCCAGGCGGGGGGACAAAAATATTCGCCCTCCCCCGAAGGATGGCGAGGGGCAGGAAGCTGGGCACGGCCCGTGCGCGGCCTCAATAAATAAATAATTTAATTAAATTATAGATATAAAAAAAAGAAGCCACCGGAGCGGCCGCGAACTCACGCCTTCTTGGAGCGGCGCCAGAGCCAGAAATAGCCCCGGCTCGGAGTCCCAATTAGAGGAGCGCAGCACCGGCTCAGGGGAGCTTAAAAAGAGCGACCCAGGGGCAGGGGGGACGGGCCCGCCCGCGCCAGCCGTGTCACTCAAGGGGCGGGGCCATGCAAATGAGCCCGGGGATTTAAAAGGGCGGCCGCCCGCCAGCCGCCGCTGCCGCGCGGGTGGGTGCTGACGGCGGGGAGGGGTGTGTGGGAGGCCTGGGTTGCGAACCCGAGTCGACCGCCCACTCCTCGCAGTCCGGGACGGAGGTGGTGTTGGAAGGCACGAACAGAGAAGTCACGAAGGAGCTTCTCGCGGGGGGTGTTGACGGGTGGGGGCATCCTTCCTCCCTGGTACAGGGGCCCCGGGAGAGTCACCTGTGGGGGCTTCCTGGGCGTGTGGGCCTGGCCCCGGCGGGGCGTGCGGGTGTGGACGGGCGTCCACGCGGGCCGAGGGGGTGGCGAGAAACGCGCTCGTTAGAGAATTCCGCGGCCTACACTCCGCCCCCTCACTGAGATAGAGGGCTGGTAGATTTCCCCTGGGCGGACAGGTGTCAGCCTGTGCCTTTCCGTGTCAACCCGCGTGTGGCTGATTGGTGAGATACAAGTCTTGTGAAATTCAAACGTGAAACTTGTGAAATCCAAAGTGTTTTACTAATGGCCACCAGCGAGCCATGATCAAGGTGGAGCCTTCGAGCGAAACCAACGATTGGCTCATTGGCAGGTACACCCGAGGGAGGCTTCATGCCTTGATGTGACTTGAAGAGTGTTCTGGAGACACGCAGACACACGTGGGGACACCGGCCTTTCCGCTGGGGCTGCAAATAAAAATAAAAGGTGGACCAGAGGGCGCCTGGAAGCGCTTTGAGGGCAGGGGCAGAGCACGCAGGCCATTCCCGCCACGCCTGGCCCGCCTGGCGGCCGGCTTAACAAAGACTTGTTGCACCGAGCGAGAAGGAAGCCAAAGGGGAAGATGGCGGGGAGGGCGGTGGGGGAGGAAAGGGCGCAGGCGGAGAGGCGCGCCCTGCAGGCCGGCCAGGGGCCTTCTTGGGCGCACCTCCCGCGCCCGGTCCCCGAGGCGGCCTTCCACACCTCCTGTGATGCAGGGAATTGAAATGCGCTCCAGTGACACACGGCTGTGACTCATGTTTTTTCTCTGTTCCCCTTCTTCCTCCCCGGTCAGCCGAGGCCCTGGCCCAGCCCCCTCCTCAGGGGGCGAGTCGGCAGTGGAGGGGACGCAGGAAAGCCCTGGGCCCGGCGCGGAGGCGGGGTGGGGAGCGGCGGGCTGGGCCTCGCAGTTGCAGGAATGTGGCAGGAATGTTTCCGGTGGGGGTGGGGAGCGGGCGGGGGGTGGGCCCAGCTCCCACCCGGGCGGCGGGAAGCGCTCGGGGCCCGGGCAGCACGTGCTCGGCCGGGTGGGGGCGGGGGCGCCTGGGCGGGAAGGCGCCAAGGGCCGGGAGCGCGGGTTCAAAGGGGAGGGTGCGGGCCTGGTGCCGGCCCGGCCTAGGGGTGGGCCCGGAGGCCGCCCTCCGCGCGCCTGCTCCCCGCCCCGCGCCCAGGTGAAACGCAGTTCCTGAGAAGTCCCGGGGCCGCCCCTTGAGGGGAGAGGAAGTCACCGAAGGGCGGCCTGAGGGGAGGGGAGGAGAGGGCGGCGGGGCCCGCGAAGGAGGCTGGGGGAAGGGCGGCCTGCCCCTTTGTCTGGCGGGTGGGTGGGGGTGGGGCGGGTGGATCGCGCCGCTCCCTCCATCTTTGTGCCCTGGGCGCCGAGCGGGCGCTTAGTAGGCCGTGAGTGGAGGTGGCTGGAGGGCCTTCGGTTTCGAACGCGGGAACCTCTGCGGCGTGGCGTGGAGGCGCGATCCCTCAGCCTTCAGCGCCCTGTCCCAGATCACAGGCGCCCCGCCAGCACCCTGGGACCCAGGTGTGGGCTCGGGCTGGCCCCTGGAGCCGCGCGCCCCTCTGCAAGGTCGCCGAGGCTGCTAGGCCCGGGCCCGGGCTGGCGGCCTGGCGGCTGGGGAGGTGCGGAGAGGGTCCTGTCGGTCCCCTCCCTCGGGTGCAGCGCTCCCTGTCCGTGTGGGACGGACGCGTGGCCGCCCCTGAGACGGAGGCGCGGAGGGGAGAGGGACTTCGCCTCGAGTGGGCTGTGGGAAAACTTGGCCAACTTTTTGGCCCACTTCTAGCGAGCCGACTCGATCTTATTTTTCCTACGCTTATTTTCCCCTCGGCCTGATTTCCTCAGCGACTTGTTTTTTACCTTGTGTTGTGTGTATTTTTGTAAGCCACCTCAAACCCTCTCTGGAAGGAGGCAGGTATAAATAAATTTGTAGGCAAATAAATATAGTAGCTGTTCCCCTCCAGGATTACCCACACCCTTGAAATCCAAATAATTCTACCCACTGACCCCCACCTTCATGCTTTCTGGATTGTAAATGCCCTGAATTCACTGCCTTGCCTTTCCTCTTTGAATAAATACTAAGCAGAAGAGCGACTGGTACGGATAAGAAGATGAGTAGGATGTAGGCTTTGTCTCCGCGAATTTCACGTCTAGAGAAATCGGGATCCGGCCTGCACTAGAGAAAGCTGAGTAGCAGTACAGGAGATAGCATGAGGTAGAAAACATTCATTCAGTAGTTACTGAGAACCTACTTACTGTTCAGCAGGAACTGGGCCAAACCCTAGGGGTACAATCAGTGAACAAAGTCCCCTGCACTCTTGAAACTTGAACCAAGGGGTCAGGTGCGTAAAGACTTAGGAGGAGCTACAGGAGGAGAGGATGGGAGCCCCGGGTGGTCAGGGAAGTCCTGGAGGAGAGCGGCTTGAGCAGGCCTTCATGAGACTTGGATAGGTGGGTGGCTGAGCAGTTGAGGGCAGGCAGGTCAAGGGACATGGGACATGGTCAAGGCCTGCAGAGTTGAGGAGTTAGTCGATACCAGAACCCGTCTTCTGCACAGGAAGCATTATTTTCTGTTACTAGAATCAGCCCGTACAGTTTCCTCAGGGACGACCCAGTGAGCTTCGGTGAACCCAACAGGAATGTCCAGGAAATGGGGAGTTCGAGTCAACTTTTATTTTTTGGGACATCTGACTCTTAAGCTCATTTTCTGGATGATTAGATGAAAAGACCAGTATGGATGGTTCCATTTAGTTCTATGAAGTGTTTGGCTTGATGCATTTTCACAAAGTGATCACCTCTGTGTCGCCAGCACACAGACCAAGAAACACAACATCTCCACTACCCTATGTAACCACCATCCCAACTTCAGCAGCCTTTCGATTTACCTGTTTGTGTACACGTAGAGATACGGGGTCTTACATTATGTATTCTCCTGAGTGAGTTTCCTTTGCTTACCCTTATGTCTGTGAGGTTCATCCATGCTACTGTGTGTGGCTGCAGAATGTTCATTCTCAGGGCTGCTTACTTACATCACTAAGCATAGACACATAAATGTACCACAATTTATGTATCTATTCTGTTGAGGGACATTTGGACAGTTTCTGGCTGGGGGCTATTATGAATAGTGCTGCCACGAATGTTCTAGAATATATCGTGGTGAGTAGTGTGCAAATTTCTGTTGGTTACGTACCTAGGAGAGGAATTACTGGTTCACAGGATGTGTATGCTTAGCTTCAGCAGATGAGCAGGGCACCTCAAAGTAAAAGTGGCACTGTTAATACTTATGACCAGGCAACAGGCATAAACCTGATCTGCCCAGTATCAGCTATGACTGACCTAGGCCGATCAGAGGTGGGGCAAACCTGGTACACAATGTTTGACCTCCCTCCTCGAGAGTCACCCAGCTACTAGTGCATCTGGTCATCTGGCAGGATCAGGCCTCCAGGCTATGCTGACCACAAGTTCTGCTGCCAGCAAGGCTGGCAGGCCTAGAAGGGGAGGAGGGCCTCTGCTGCTTCCAACTTTCGAGGGAAAAACTCTCAAGTGAAAAGGAGGGCCCAGGAACCAGGGCCCTTTCCGCCTTCCTGCTGTGAGCTAATGACCCACCCTGCATGGCCCTAAGATGCCATGGACTTTTCCGCTTACTTCTTCAGGACTGAATCCCCAAGGAAGCCCAGCTCCTCTCCAACCCCTGAAGAAGTCTGAGAAGAGGGTGGAGTTGATGAGCATACTCTGAATACACAGGTTCTCTCAGATGCCTCCACATCCCTACTGGTGAGTGATGCAATTGTCCCATTTCACAGGTATTAAAATCAAGTCTTGGCTGGGCATGGTAGCTCACGCCTGTAATCCAAGCACTTTGGAGGCCAAGGCGGGCAGATCACCTGAGGTCGGGAGTTCAAGACCGACCTGACCAATATGGTGAAACCCCATCTTAAAAAAAAAAAAATCAAGTCTTGGGGCAGTTAAATAGCTGAGGATTTCGCCTCTTCCCCCTCTGCTGCTTCCGTTCTGAGACTGGGTGGGCTTCCTGCCTCCTCGGAGCCTGGCCAGATGGATCCCTCCAGGTACCACTACCAAGGGTATAGCCTTGAAATGGGTAGCTACATTCGTGTCATCAAGGGGCTTGCATTGAGTGGGGCGCACAAGGGGATAGACATGTATACAGGCAATTCCAGCAGTGTGGCACACACTGTAATGTGGGCCTGGGGGAGCTCAGGGCAGGGGCCCAGGGCATAGGTGGAGCATCCTAGGAAGCCTAGGACGCAGGCACGTGGGAACAGTAGGGTGTTTGATATGGGGATGGGCTTGGGGCTGTGAGAGATGAGGTGGGCAGGTATTTGTTACGCACCATGCTCTGCATTCATTTGAAGCTAGTTTTGGATGTGAATTAGGTACCAGCAAAGAAAGTGAAATTTGGGGTCAGGCGCAGTGGCTCATGCCTGTAATTCCAACGTTTTGAGAGGTTGAGGCAGGAGGATCATTTGAAGTCAGGAGTTAAGAGACCAGCCTGAGCAACATGGTGAAACCACATCTGTACTAAAAATACAGAAAACTTGGCGAAGCTAAGTTTTCAGACTGGGTGGGCTTGCTGCCACCCAGGGTGGTGGTGCACCCCTGTGATCTCAGCTACTTGAGGGGCTGAGGCAGGAGAATCGCTTGAACCCAGG